GGAGGGCTGGATTGAGAGGGACCTGCCTTCTAACCTGAGTTTTTCACCTTCCTAGTGGGCCCAGTCTACCTCTTGGGGGTATAAAAAGCTCCATCCCGTACTTCTTCTCCCTATTGTTTCATCTATGGAACAATGCTTTCTCCAGACTGAGGGGCTGACCCCTCAAAAACTTTAAGGGTGAGGACTGTTACATCGCTTCAAGTACTTCTGCTTCTTCAACTTTTTTGTACTTGACTGAAAAAGCCTACTGTGAGGCGAAACGTTTCACAATAAAGATACCTAACTGTTGCATATGTGTCTTACCTAACAACCTGTCGGTATTTTATACCATTTTAATGTTCAGTTTGTCTAAATCCTCCTGAAGTTCCCTAACATCTACGTTTGAATCAATTATCCTACCTATCTTCGTGTCATCGGCGAATTTGCTCATATCACTAGTAATTCCTTCATCAAGATCATTGATATATATTATAAACAACAACGGGCCCAAGACTGATCCCTGTGGAACGCCACTTGTTACTGATCCCCACTCGGATTTAACCCCATTTATGGACACTCTCTGCTTCCTGTCTGTGAGCCATGATTCGATCCACGAGAGCACTCTTCCCCCAATGCCATGAGCTGCTACTTTCTTCAACAGTCTTTGGTGCGGAACTCTATCAAATGCCTTACTAAAATCTAAGTAAATAATATCAAATTCTTTATCGTGGTCAACAGCCTCAAAAGCTTTACTGAAAAAAGTTAATAAATTAGTTAGACAAGACCGGCCTCTTGTGAATCCATGCTGAGTATCATTAATCAAGCTATGCTTATCGAGATGGCTTCTTATAATCTCAGCTATAATTGACTCTAGTAATTTGCCTACAATTGAGGTCAGGCTTATTGGGCGGTAATTTGACGGTAACGACTTGTCCCCTGTTTTAAAAATAGGAATTACATTAGCCATCTTCCACATATCAGACACTACACCTGTTTGAAGAGATAAATTAAAAATATTAGTTAATGGTTCACAGACTTCCATTTTTTTTTTTCAAGCTGTTGCTCAACATCTTCATCAGTTTCAACTTCTTCCAATTTCTCATCCACCTCTTCTTCCTCAATATCGCTCTCTTCTTCTTCCTCATCTTCAAGTCGAACATTAAATGCTTCTTGAGGAAAGTTGTAGATGCGCTCATAGGTTCCATCTTTAAGTCTCTGTAGAAGTTGTTTTTCAATTGCATTGTCAATCCTGGCTGCAATAAGAGCTTTTTCCTCACGTCTTTTGATTCGCAAATCAATTTTTCTCCTTATAGGAATCAATTTCTTTTGTCTTCTTAGTTTAAGATTCCTCATACGCGTCAGGTACTGTGTGATCTTGAGCAGACGTTGACGACATTTTTGACGAAAATATTTCTTCCAAAATACCAGATTTTCATCAATCTGTTGCAATGCTTTAACAAAGTTCCGTGATAGTTTTACTTTTTCCCATTGCCTTGCTGGGAAAAATGCCCTTTCAGCAGTACGCATATACAGATAAATGATTCCTTGCTCTTCTCTAATTGTAGCATACTGGGTGTTCGCAAGAGGACAGGAGCTGCGACTGCATAACCCAGTTAGGTTGAATTCATTTCTGCAAAACCTTTGGCTTTTTGTTTGGATTTTAAAAGAACAAAATGTTTTGTTTATGATACTCCATGTAATGTCGTCACTCTGCATTTTCAAAGTCTCAAAGAAGGATGTAATTAAAGATGTAAGTTTGCTTATATATACTGAGTGTATTGTCAACAAGTATGAAGACAGATGCAAGTTGCATAATAAACTTTTACTGGGACATCGTTTGTGGTTTTTGTAGATGTACTGATAAAGCTGTGTGTAGGGCGAACGAAACATTGTTGCAGTAAAAGCTGCTTTTGCAACTTGGGTGTTTATCCGGTGCTTTGATACGCAGTGCTTCCTATCTGTGCCGCTGCTTAGTTACTGCAAGTGCCACATTAGCAGCTTTCCCGTTTTACAGTATGTGACAGCCCTGGTAGTGGGCTCTGCCCCTTCTCTCAGTACTTGTGGTAATATGCTGTCACATCTTCTTTCTTTCCTTATGTCTGGTTCTTACGATAACTTCACCACTATCACTGTCATGGTAATTTACTTGTGTCACGTCTTCTGTTGCGTCTCTTATCATCGCTTTCTCCCATACTTCACTGTCATCTACCGTCACTGCTCCTCGTCTTTCTTCCTAACATTGCCTTCCACTCTCATTGTGTTGCTTATGTAGCTGGAAAGCAATTTCTGAGTCGTTTTAGTTTTTAATGTGTCACTCTCACCCTGTCTTGCTTGCTTGCCCTTGCATAGCAATGGAAAAGACACGTTGAAGAACAAGGTTTTATTGAGACGCTCTGTTAGAGCGCTATACTATAAATGACTTCCATTACCGACAGGTTATTAAGACACACGTGCAGCAACTATAAAGGTACCTAGGTGCTGCACGTGCGTCTTACTCGTCATTCTGACAGACAGAAACGTTGTCTCAGTTAAACACTTGCTCTGCAGCGTGTCGTCTTCTGCAGTGTTGTGAGCTGTATGACATACAGGTGTTGCTCATCCTCGTGTTTCCTGCCATTTATCCTGCTCTGTAATGATTACTTATTTGCTTACGTGTGTGAAGGTCAGCCAGCAGAGCTGTGTTCGTGTTGTCATCTTCACTGTTTAATGTCTCATACAATTGTTATGTTAATTTTGAGTGGTTGTAGCACATAGTAACGCCCCTGGTATTCCATTCACTGCTCTTCCACTGTGTGTGTGTGTGTGTGTGTGTGTGTGTGTGTGTGTGTGTGTGTGTGTGTGTGTGTGTGTGTGTGTGTGTGGTGTGTGTGTGGTGTGTGTGCATGGGATGTGTGGTGTGTGTGCATGTGTGTTGGGTAGAGATTGAGAGATTACGAAACATCTTGGAGTTCAGTTCTCCGAAAACAAGATTAAATTGCTAGTGAATTTTTTTTACCACCTTCCCCCCCCTTCCCCCCTTCCCTCTGCCCAACACACTCACACCGGACATTATATAAATCACATCCTAAACGCAAGAAAATAGAAAATGAAAGAAGCGCTCACTTGCGACTCCCACGTAGAAATCTCTCACCACCTGGATAACCTTCACTCACCAGGATATATACTCGTGTATATATATGTATATATATATATATATATATATATATTATTATATATATATATATATATATATATATATATATATATATACGTATATGTCGTGGCGAATATGTAAAACTGGTCAATTAGCAAGAACTCATTTAAAATTAAGTCCTTTCTAAAATTTTCTCTTATACGTTTAAAGACATATTTTTTTTCATTAATGATAATGTAAAATTTTTTAATTTTGCATCAAAAGAATCTTAGAAAACTTACCTAACCTTATTACAACAAGAATAATTTATTTTAGCCTAACCTAACTAAATATATTTTAGATTTGTTTACAGCAATTTAATACTAAACAAACACAGTGAAATATATTTTTTTCGTTAGGTTCAGAATGATTTTGGCGAAATTATTGCATACACAAATTTTCACTTGTCCTATATGGCAAGATGAGCGTTGCTATTTAAGCCAAGATCGCAAGTTCTGCCTATTCGGCACGACATATATATATATATTATATATATATATATATATATATATATATATATATATATATATATATATATATATATATATATATATATATATATATATATAGCGATAATTGAAGTATGACCTTGATGTCCTGGTTGACATATACAGGTTTAATACTTTATTATTATTATTATTATTATTATTATTATTGCACAAGGGAACGCCAAGTATAACAAGTGTGAAGATACTCTGGGTATAAAGTGCATGTTAGTGAATAACACAGTTGTTGTACATGTGTCTTATTCATCAGTTTTTTGGGGGTTAAAGTATTCTTGTCTGGTGATGACCCTAGTGTTGGTTTTAATGACCTTAGTGTAAGTTTTAATGACCCTAGTGTTGGATTTAATGACCCTAGTGTAAGTTTTAATGGCCCTAGTGTAAGTTTTAATGACCTTAGTGTAAGTTTTAATGACCCTAGTGTTGGATTTAATGACCCTAGTGTAAGTTTTAATGACCCTAGTGTAAGTTTTAATGACCTTAGTGTAAGTTTTAATGGCCCTAGTGTAAGTTTTAATGACTAATGTGTAAGTTTTAAACTCCATTAACCAAGCATATGTTTATCAGTTTGTGGTAATTATAGATCTTTGATCTAATTATACATGTCATGTTATGTGGTTGTTAGGTAAGACACATGCAACAGTTAGGTATCTTTATTTCGAAACGTTTCGCCTACACAGTAGGCTTCTTCAGTCGAGTACAGAAAAGTTGATAGAAGCAGAAGATACTTGAAGACGATGTAATCAGTCCATCACCCTTAAAGTTTGGGTTGGTCAGTCCCTCAGTCTGGAGAAGAGCATTGTTCCATAGTCATGTTATACACACAGTTTCACATGTTTCAAACATGTAAGAAAGAAAAGATGTTGACAGAGGCGAGTTTAAAGTGAACTCTGCCATCTTAGCAATTTAAGGGGCATGTCTGTTCCCCTTTTTTCCAGTATGTTATTTTCCCCCTATAATTTACCTTGTTTATAATCAATATCGCATTTGCTTTGTTTACGTAAGGTGAAGTCTAGCATCTTTCCTTAATTGATGGTATAACTTAACAAATGTCTGAGGACCGTACTGTTGTAGTGTCGGTATGACACGATTGTAAACAAACCATACCACGGGTGGGGTTTGAACCCGCGGTCAGAGAGTCTCAACACTCCAGAGTTTTGAGACTGACCGCGGGTTCAAATTCCACCCGTGGTATGGTTTGTGTTGTAGAGGTGTGAGCTTTACCTTACGAAAACAGACAAAGGAAATGCGATAGTATGGACAAGGTAGAATATAGGGGAAAAAGTAAACATTAGGAGAGAGGGAAACTCAGGAGCCTCTTAATTATTATAACGTGTTCAACTTACCCAAGCAATCGTAGCATCATGGTGATGACACCCTTACGCACGACCTCCTCTTGGCTTCCGCTTTCTCCCTTTTTTTTCTCCCTCCACCGTTTCTTTTATTATAGTCCTTTCTTTTCTCTTTTCTTTATAGCGTGTATCACGGTGAATCACATTCTAACTCGCGGAGTGCGCGAGTGTGTCCATGGTTGTAAACATTTGTGAGTTGGTGGGTAAACACAGTCTCGTGTGTGTGTGTGTGTGTGTGTGTGTGTGTGTCGAGTGGTTTTGTTAGTGTGGGGTTGACACAGTTGTGGTGGTGCTGGTTGTGGCACTAGTTGAAGTTGTGGTTGTTAGTGGTGGCTGGGGCTGTTTGAAGTTGGAGGTTGAAGCGATGGACGTGGTTGAGAGATTGTGTATGGCGGAGGTGGAAGTGTAGAGGTTGTGGTAGGGGTTGAGGTACAGGTAATTGTGGTAGTGGTTGAGGTTAGTGTGTGTGTGGGGCGCCTGCGTGTGGAGACGTGCGTTGGGTAAGGTAGTTCACCACTGACTGAGCTAGCTCTAGCTCTCTCTCTGCTGGGATCACTGCACCTCCTTACCTCTTCCCCCCCCCTCCCTACCTAACCTGCTCACTACTTTCCTCTCTCTCTCTCTCTCTCTCTCTCTCTCTCTCTCTCTCTCTCTCTCTCTCTCTCTCTCTCAATCACTCAGATCAACAAATTAACAGAGAGGTAATGATTAACATTGTTAACACGAGAACATGACATATTTATCATTTTATAGGGTAAGAGTTGTGAGAGTGTCCGGGACTTACCTGATCCTCGACATCCTCACAACTCTTACTGAACGTTATTTTCACTAGATAGAAGTAAGTAATAATCAACAATAATCCATAATCAATAATAAAAGTATAAAATGTTTACTAATAATCAATAAAAAATCCTTGAGACATTTGGTATCCAGTAGCATGAGTCTACTTGTGGTAATTTCAAAGACGCTTTTAGCAGGGATACCTTTATTGAATATCCCCGAAGGATACCTTTCTGTGGGTACCTGATTTTTTTCTGTTGGGACCTGACTTTTTTTTGCTATGGGCACCTGATGTTTTTTCTGTGGGTACCTGATTTTTTTCTGTGGGTACCTGATATTTTCTGTGGGCACCTGAATTTCTTTCATGGCTTGAGAACGCCTCATCTTATTGGGCTCAAATTTTCAACGTTTGTGTGTTGCATCCTGGGGAAGGGTTTTGCAACTATTGGCATGTGCCTGATTTGAATTCCGTGCAATAACTTGAGAATGCCTCTTCTGACTGGACCCCAATGGAAATAAGTCACTCTGACTTTTTTGGGTTATCCTAGGTTCTCTACACATATGCTGCTATGTATGATAATCTGTGTAACTGTATTTGTGTATACCTGAATAAACTTACTTACTTCAAACTTCCAGTGAGGGTGGACTGTGCCAAAAGGAAGGTTCACGTGGATTTTGGGCTGTGTAAGTGTTAATTTGCAAATTTTATTAATTTGCTTTCTGTTCAATAACTGGAGAATGAGTCTTCAGATCGACTTCAAACCTTAAACCCCCACTTTGAGAAATTATGAAATTCAACATGAACTCTACAGCTCTTCTACAGTCGTACCACGCAAACCTGTACAACTCTTGTTCACTGTTAGTACCACTCCTGAGTACGTTCATCATTGTTGTTGTTGCTAGTACCACTCCTGGGTACGTTCATCACTGTTATTACTAGTACCACTCCTGGGTACGTTCATCACTGTTGTTATTACTAGTACCACTCCTGGGTACGTTCATCACTGTTGTTATTACTAGTACCACTCTTGGGTACGTTCATTACCTGGAGTCTACGTGGAGGGCATTCCGGGGATCATCGTCCCCGCGGCCCGGTCCACGACCAGGCCTCCCGGTGGATCAGGGCCTGATCAACGAGGCTGTTACTGCTGGCCGCACGTAATCCAACGTACGAACCACAGCCCGGCTGATCCGGCACCGTCTTTAGGTATCTGTCCAGCTCCCTCTTCAAGACAACCAGGGGTCTTCCCGTAATGCCCCTTATTGCTTATGGGAGGCTGTTGAACAGTCTTGGGCCCCGGACACTTATTGTGTTTTCTCTTAGTGTACCAGTGACGCTCCTACTTTTCACTGGGGGTATGTTGCATCGCCTGCCAAGTCTTTTGCTTTCGTATGGAGTGATTGCTGTGTGCATATTAGGGACCAGTCCCTCCAGAATCTTCCAGGTGTAGATTACGATATATCTCTCTCGCCTGCGCTCTAGTGAGTACAAGTCAAGTGCTTCCAGGCGCTCCAAGTAGTTAAGGTGTTTGATGGAACTTATACGTGCAGTAAAGGTTCTCTGTACATTCTCTAGCTCTGCAATTTCACCTGCCTTGAATGGAGATGTTAATGTACAGCAGTATTCCAGCTAGAAAGAATAAGTGATTTAAAAGGATCATCATTGGCTTAGCATCTCTTGTTTTGAATGTTCTCATTATCCATCCTATCAGTTTCCTAGCAGATGTGATAGTGGCATTGTTGTGGTCCTTGAAGGTGAGGTTTTCGGACATTACCACTCCCAGGTCCTTCACATTACTTTTCCTCTCTATTGTGTGATTGGAGTTTGTAGTATACTCAGTTCTAGGTATTATTTCCTCCAGTTTTCCTTAACGGAGTAGTTGGAATTTGTCTTCATTGAACATCTTATTGTTCTCTGTTGCCCATTGGAAAACTTGGTTTATATCTTCTTAGAGCTTTGTCGTGTCCTCAGTGGATGACTCTATCATGCAGATCCTAGTATCGTCTGCAAAAGATGATGCAGTGCTGTGGTTTACATCTCTGTCTATGTCTGATATGAGAATAAGGAACAGGATAGGTGCGAGCACTGTGCCTTGTGGGACAGAGCTTTTCACTATGGCAGCATCTGATTTAACTCTGTTTACCACTACTCTTTGTGTGCGATTGGTTAGAAAGTTGAAGATCCATCTGCCTACTTTGCCGGTTATCCCTTTAGCACGCATTTTGTGTGCTGTTACACCATGGTCGCACTTGTCAAAGGCTTTTGCAAAGTCTGTGTATACTACATCCGCATTCTGTTTGTTTTCCAGTGCATCTAGGACCATATCATAGTGGTCAAGCAGTTGCGAAAGGCAGGAACGACCTGCTCTGAAACCATGTTGCCCTGGGTTGTGCAATTTTTGGGAGTCAAGGTGGTTTGCTATCCTGCTTCTTAGAACTCTTTCAAAGATTTTTATGATGTGGGACGTTAAAGCTATTGGTCTATAGTTCTTAGCTACTGCTTGCTGCCACCTTTATGGAGTGGGGCTATATCTGTTGTTTTTAGTGACTGTGGAATCTCGCCCGTGTCTAAGCTCCTTCTCCATAGCATACTTAGGGCCCGTGAGAGGGGTTTCTTGCAGTTTTTAATGAACACCGAGTTCCACGAGTCTGGGCCTGGGGCTGAGTGCATGGGCATGTCGTCGATGGCTTTCTCAAAGTCTAGTGGAGTTAAAGTTATGTCATAAATCTGGCCTACATTGGCAGGGTTTTGAGGCTCATTCATAAAAAAATTGTTTGGATCGTCTATCTTTAAGCTGGTTAGTGGCTCGCTGAACACTGAGTCATACTGCAATTTCAGTATCTCGCTCATTTCATTGTTGTCGTCAGTGTAGGATCCATCTTGTCTGAGCAGGGGCCCTATACTAGAAGTGGTTTTTGACTTGTTTTTGGCGTATGAAAAGAAATATTTCGAAATTCTTACAATTTCATTAATCGCTTTTAGCTCCTCTTGTCACCCCTGGATCCTGTATGAGTCCTTTAACTTCAACTCAATATTTTCCACTTCCCTGGTTAGCACTACCTTCCGTGTATCAGATAATCTGGCATTCTTGAGGAGCTCGATGGTTCTTCGTCTTCTCCTGTAGAGGGAGCGTCTCTCTCTCTCCAGTTTACTTCTTCTTTTCTTATGTCTTATAGGAATATACCTTGAACATACTTCAGCTACCAGGAGGGTGATCTTTTCGAGGCATTGGTTAGGGTCTATGTAAATTTTGATATCCTCCCCGCATGTTTTTATTTTGGGCAATTTACCTGCCCAGATGATGTTTTGTTTGAAAGTTGAATTTGGGAAAGGTGCCCTCAAATGAATGCATTGTGCTGTCAGGGCTCCTGTGCATGCAAGTTTGGACTTCGATTAATTTTGGTCAAATTTGTTTTTTTGATATTTTTATATTCCCTTTCCAGGGCCCCATTATTTTTGGAAAATAAGGTCAAGTGTGTTCTCCATTTATTGGCTCCACATTTCTGACTTAGGGTGTGTTTAATTTCAGAAATTCAGCAACCTGGGGTGTGTGACCTTTCATCTGAGCTACCTCCCGGGATTATTTTTGCACGACATTATTTGCTATATTTTTCCATTTTGTGGTCTTTGACTGAAATCACAAGCAAAAGATGTTTGGGGGTGGGTGGGAAAATTGTCCAAAAGGATCGATTTTTGACAGTTGTTTTTGAACGTTGGGAAGTTGATCCGGTGGCTTATATACAATTTAAAAAAAAATTAGTTTTGGTTCTCATTTTTTTTGTTAAACTTAACTACATCATTATTACTTACCACTTGGGTCGTTTATCATGTTGTTATTACTGTACATCCTGGGACTTCACATGTTTTTTATTACTAGTACCACTCCTGGGTACGTTCATCCTGTTGTTAAACTAGTACCACTCCTGGGTACGTTCTCACTGTTATTACTGACCACTTCTGGTACTTTTTCACTGTTGGTTTTAAGTACCATCCTGGGTACGTTTCACTGTTGTTATATTACCACTCCGGGGACGTTTATCACTGTTGTTATTACAGTACCACTTCTGGGGACGTTCATCACTGTTGTTTTTTTCTAACCCTCCTGGGTACGTTTTCACTGTTGTTATTACTAAATACCACCCCGGGTACGTTCATCACGTTGTTTTTATAGTACCACTCCCGGGGACTTCTCCTGTTGTCATTTCAGAAACCCTTCTGGGGACGTTCATCACGTTTTTATTTCTAGTACCACTCCCGGGACGTTTATCACTGTTGTTTTACGTACCACTCCTGGGTGTTCATACTGTTGTTATTACTTTAACCCCTCCTGGGTCGTTCATCACGTTTTTATTCATTACCACCCTGGGTACGTTCAACCCCCTGTTTTATTAGACCATCCTGGTACGTTCATCCTTGTTATTATATACCACCCTGGGTACGTTTATCATGTTGTTTTTTACAAATACCAATTTTGGGTACTTCATCACTGTTGTTTTCTATACCACTTGGGGACGTTCACACTGTTGTTTTAAGTACCACTCCTGGGTACGTTCATCATTTTTGTATTACTAGACCCTCCCCGGGTACGTTATCCTGTTTTTATTACATTACCACTCCCGGGTACTTCACACTGTTGTTATTACTGTACCCCCTGGGGACGTTCATCACTGTTGTTTTACTAGTACCCCTTCTGGGTACGTTCATCACTGTTTTATTACTATACCCCTGGGGGACTTCATC